CGCCGCCGCCGCCGCCGCCGTCGTCGTCGCCACGCCTGCCGATTGGCTGCAAGAGTCAGCTGACTCCGGGGGCGGGCCGGGGAGGCGGCCAATGAGAGCGGCGGTGGGCGGGCCCTTGGACCTGCGGAGCGGAGCGGAGAGGTCAACCCGGGACCAACTGGGAGCAGGCCCAGGGCGGGGCTCCGGGGTTGGGCGCGCGAGTGGGCGGGGTCCCAATCCTGGACCTGACCCAGCCCGGGTTTGCCTTCTGGCTGCGCAGCGCCAGCTGGCTCCAGTTTGGCCTCTGCTCTGGGCTTAGGATCCTTGACCGTCCCACTTGCCGAGCTCCTGGGTTTGCACCTGGGGAGGGGCCTTTGGCCGCACGCCCAGTGGAGTGGGGGTCACCCCAGGCGTCCCGCGCGGAAGGGGCCTCGTCTGCACTGGCCAGGACGGACAAGGAATCTTCATGCAGCAGGGTTCAGCATCCTGAAGTTTTGCAACGCCTGAGCAGAGGAGGAGCAGGCTCCCTCCTGCTCAGAGTAAGAAAGATACCTCCAGGTGCAGGTCATGGAACAGCATGGATCAAACACTGCTCATGTGTCACATGGTGGAGGACTTCGTAAGCTAAGAGGGGTGGATGAGTGGGGAATGGGATAAAAAACGGGGTGGGGAGAGAAATGCATGGGATTATGGTGATGGCACAGGGGTGATTTGGTGATGGGAAACCCGCGGGGATTACAACCGGGATGGAAAAAAAATGTACAAAATGATGTAAAAATAAACTTTTGTAATAAAAAAAAAAAGAGGGGTGGATGAAGGTACTCACACGCGAAGACAGCCATTTCAAACTTCAACAACAACAACAGTTAAAAAGAAAACGATATTCACCCAAAAGACACAAAAATACTGATTGAAAAAGATACTTGTACCCCCATGATTATTGCTGCTTTATTTACAATTGGAAAAACATGGAAGCAGCCCAAATGCCCAAAAGTAGATGACTGGATAAAAAAGATGTGGTACATATATACAATGGAATATTACTCAGCAACCAAAAAAGAGAAACACATGTCTTTTGCAGCAACTTGGATGGAGCTGGAAAAGGTCATGCTTAGTGAGATAAGCCAGAAAGAGAGAGAAAAATACTGGATGGTTTCACTCATAGCAGGAGTATAATGGACCAGGTGGAAAATAACAAAAATAATGAACAACCATATACCAGAGACATTTTGTGGGGGTGGAGTGGGGAATGGGATCAAAAACGGGGTGGGGGGAAGGAAATGCACGGGATTATGGTGATGGCACATGGGTGACTTGGTGATGGGAAACCCGTGGGGATTACAATTGAGATGGAAAAAAATTGTACAAAATGATGTAAAAATAAACTTTTGTAATAAAAATAAACAACGATATTCTAGGGGAAATGATTGTATCAAACACCACACACAAATGACTGATGCTGAGACCATCGATAGGTTGGGAGATAAAAAAAAAAATAAAAAAAAAAAAACCAAAAAGACACTACAAGTTCGAGGGTGATAAAGGGCCAATGAATTGAAAGTGCCAAGAACCACGCTTTCCACCCCCATAAGTGACTTAGCTTAGACGAATGGAAATAGACCTCATCAAACGGATAAGACCCTCGATGAGGAATGGGCAGAGCACGGAGCAGTCACTTCGCTAACGAATAGAACCGCTAGTTGGGATGGACAGTGAGTGAATCTGACCAGCAATCAAACCAAACCAAGCAAAAGGATTAAAACCACAAGCTCTCAGCTACCCCCTGACCCGGCCCCCATGGCTTTCCAGCCCTCTTAGAATAAGAGTCAAATTCCTCATCTCTGCAAAGCCCAAGGTGGGGTAAAGGCTTTCACACATTTTCTAGCCTTTCAACACCTGCACCTCCCGTCTCTGGCTCTTCCCAGGAATGTCTGCTGCTGGCTGCTGGCTTGGCTGCTTCTTGAAGCCTCAGACCTTACACAAGTCAAGTTCCCAGCACAGCTCTCCTGGGTAGGGCGGCCCTCCCTCCCTGCCGCCATCACCCTGATGCACACTTCCCAGTTAATTTACTTGTTTTATTGCTAGAATCCTCTTGCCTCTAATTATCATCTCTAGGTCTGTTTTGCTCACCACTCCCATTGCTCAACTCTGTTACACCCAGTAGGTGCTTATGACATGTTGGTTCAATTGCAGAGACCTCCAGGGATGCCCAGGAGGAAACTGGCAACACCCAACCCAAATCCTGGTGTGTTTGATGCCAATAACCAGCTTTCAGCCACCAGCTGTATTTCTGCTGCGAAACTCCCTGTCATGGCTGGTGGATTTGGCAAGTATAGGAGTCAGCGCTTGACAGTATGACTAGGAGGCCCTCCCTGGTGGCGCAGTAGGTTGGGTGCTGCACTGCCAAGCTAAGCCAAATCATGACCACTTCAGTGTGAGTTTGATCCCCACCCCGGAGCTGACCCATAGGTCACAGCAGCCCTTTCCTGTCTTGCGTGCTGCTCCCCTCAGCAGTATACTTTGAAAGTCTGCCTGTTCTGCTCCCCACTCTGTCTCTGGTGAATCTTCTCTCCACCCCTTCACCTCTGGCCTGTACCCCAGTTCTGTATGCATCAATAAATAAATCTTTAAAGTATGACTAGAAGAGAAAGATCAGAACAGAATCTGCAGAGGTGCATTAGAACAACCACTACTTGATCTTAACAGTTTCTTCCACTCAGCACATCAAGCAAAGAAATCCACTTAGTGAGGAGAGACTATTTCAAAGGGAGAAAGGATTATTGCAATGAAGGTGACTATAATGGCTGCAAGCATCTCAAGAGTTTGGCAGAAAGAGGTGCTCTTCTATAGAGCCTAAGCCAGGCTGGAAGGAACCAAGCACGAGGAAGTGAGATGAGAAAGGTGGTAGGGTTGGAGAGATCAGAGAAATGTTTTAGTCTATTCTCATTAGGGTCTATTCTCTGCTACTGACATTATAGGTTAACGATGGGCCAAAGTTCAGTCAGCAGCCTGGAAGAGGAGAAAAGCTCAGTGAAAATTTGGTTCACAAGCATTTTGTGTTGATGGGTCAGTGGGAGAAGGTCTCTGTTTCATCTGTGAGGCAAAGGGAGGGAGTTGGGAGGGCCTGTGTCTGGTGCGGTAGTTAGGTAACAAGGCAGCGTCCATTAGTGTGAGCTAGGTCACATGGGGGAAATGTGTGGTTCTTTGCACTTTCAATACACTGGCCCTTTATCATCCTCGAACTTTTAGTGTCCTTTCTCGGGGGTCGTTCCCCCCCCCCCCCCCCCCGTCTATCAATAGTCCTCAGCATCAGCCATTTAATTCAGTATGTTAATGTCCTTAATATCCATAAGGCATTCAGCTCCCAATAGAAAAAGAAGTAGAAAATTTGCCAAAACATTTACTAATGAAATATACATAGAAAAAAGACATTCAACTTAAAGTCAAACCAACGGAAGCACAAAGAGCTGCAAGAAGCCAAACCTACACTGATTGTGTTGTGTGATTGCAGGCCGGGCAGAAAGCACACACACTCCGCTGGTGGAGCGCAGGGGGGCGTTTGTAGCCCCGTGCGGCAATGGCTTTAAGAAGTGTGCTCGTTCTTTGCTTCTGTCTCCTGCTTTCGGAAATCTCCCTGGTGGCATTACGGGTTAAAGCGCAGCACTGCAAGTGAACTGC